TTTTCTCCCTTTGGTATTGTTTTTCTTTACTGAAGAGCACTTGTGTGTATAAGTGTGCAGAACCCCTCCTCACCAGTGTCTATGAGTAGGAGTTTCAAAATGCATTACGTCTGTACACAGTTAATATTGCACAGCCCATGATTTGAAATTTAGTATATGTAGTCAAAGACTTTGATTGTGCATGGCCTTGTGGCTTGTTTATTCAAAGATAGGTCAAAGCCTACAGTTTCAGTATTTAAAATACAATAGTTTTAAAAGCCTAATTTACTTGATTGCTGGAGAAGTTTCTTTGACCTGGAACAGGACCTGTGATCAGCTGTCCAACATCAGTAGCGTAGCCTAGCCTGTTTCCAAAGGATTGGGTAGTGCTCTTGCCATCAAAGCTGTTTCAATAGTGTGCTTTTAAAGTCTCCTATAGGTGCTCTTTTACTTTGTTTCAGCAGATACTTTTAATATGGAGAGGCAAACTAGCTTTTTAGTCGAAGACTTCTATATGAGATAGGTAAGCTGCTAGTTTAGATCTCTTCTTTGAGTGACCCTGCCGAGTGTCTTAAAAATAAGTCTCTGCTCAGTGAGTGCCCTGACAGTCAGTTATTTTGAGGTCCCTGATTAGCAGTTTTTTATTCAAAAAATCAAAAGGTTTTTTGTAAAGTATTGTCAAATTTTTAAAAGTTTATAGAAATTATTTAACAGAGTGAAAATGGGAGGAGAAAGAATACTAGGAAGGGAAAACATTTCCTTACCAAATAGTAATATAACACCGATAATCCTCCAGGTCTTTCACAAGCAGACTGAATAGAGATTGGAGTTTATTCACGTTCATTGCGTAAGTGTACCAGCAAAACAATTCACACAAGCAAGTATTTCAAATGTATTTTTTATACACTCCATGTCATAACCTGGCTGAGTGAGTCGGGAGAAAGAGAAAATCCTTGTTTCTTTCATATATTAGTGTTTTCTACATTTACATGCAAGTTATTTTCTCTAGTCCTGCCCATTTTGGATGTCATTATTTGAGACCTAATTCCTGAACCTTATATATTCTGTCAGTGTTATTCCAGTAAAAAGATACATAGTTGTTTGTATATGTAAAATTAGCTGTATTTGAGTCAAGAGGGTGAAGACCTAGCTGTATAAACCATCAGCTGCAGTGATTCTGGTGAGAAGTTCCCAAGGGTTTCAGTGAAGCATCAGGTGTTAGGTTTTCGTTTCAATTTCATTCTTTCTCTTGCTCCATTTTCATCCATTATCTTCCTTTTTCATTTAATAGTGAAGAGCAGTTATCTCAGAATTCTTTTATACCAGATTAGATAGCTGTACAGTATTTTTGGTGCGCAACATAATTACCACGTGTTTTAAAGATTAGTTCAGATTTATGACTTGTGTATTTTAATTGAGGCCTGTGTAATAGTTTCATTCATGAAACGCTTCAGGCAGTTAGGTAGGGCTGGTTTATTTCCAGATCTTTTATTAAATGATGAATCTTACACGTGCAATACCAGGCTACAGTTGTTATCTTTATGTTTTGTTTGAGGAGGAATGTAAGAGGTGGTTCTTAACTTGGAAGCTGAAGATTCAAAAGGATACTTCTTTTAGGAGGGAAGAGGTAGCTGTCAGGGTTCTTACAGTACTTGCTCTTTTTCGGGTTCTTGCAGTACTTACTCTTTTTCCCAGGGGAGGGACAATGAACAGCATTAAGTTCTCTGGTGCTCTTCTGTGCGTTTGCAGTATGCTTAATTTAGAGTATTCTAGTGAAGCTTGGTAACAAAGGTGATAGTACTGTGGCAATGGTGTGAAGAAGTTAATTGTGTTTTACACCTAGTGAAAAGAGGTCATCTGTGCATGAATTGGGATATTTATGCTTTATGCAGATTACACAAAATATGTTTGGTTCTTCCTAGTAATGCTGAGGCTATTTATACTTGTATAGACCTGGCATATGTTTCATGTTAATTGCCTGTGACTAGTTCACAGTATGGTGGTGGTAGGTGGGGTTTTTTGTCCTCATGCAAACAATGTCTGGGTAGACAAAAGCCATGTTACTTGAAATTTATAAAGCCTAAATATTGTTTCATGCATGTGTGGTTGTTATTATTTTTTTAGTGATATCTCCCAGTCATTGAAAAGATCTGCACAGTGTGAGTTTCGAATGTCTGACTAGTCTGATTACTATGTACGCACACTTCTGAAAGTATTTTCATTACTCAGGCTTGTGCATAATAAAGCCTCAGTGATTTATTTTTTTTTTAATTAAACGTTTTGGCTATGTGAAGAGTGGTGAAGATGGCAATAGCAGAAAACCAGATCCTACTGGAAGGCTTAAGAAGGCTATCTCTGTTACAAATAAATAAGTTTTAGTTTCGCTTATCAACCAGAGTGGATCCTGTTAATTACTGTAGTGTTCTTTAACAAAAGTCAGTGACTTAGCGGTGGTACTTCAGTTGGCCCCCTTGCTGCCTGCCGCCTTGGTTAGGCATGCACAGCCAGGGTGCAGTTCCACGCACAACTGGCTGAAGCTAATGTCAGATTGTTACTGCTGAAAAGGGGATCCAACTCCTGTTTCCTAATCTTTGTAGTGGGCGGTGGTGTTTCTGTCAGTTTTGCTTGCTGGTTCAGCTGGGACTACTTTGTTTTTAGGGTTGATTTTCAGCCAGATGAGCAAAATGAGTTGACTTGTGGTAATACCGGTGTAAGGATGATGGCAGTGCAATTTGGAATGGGGATCACCCAAACCCACTTTTTCATATTGGAAGGAGATCGGTTTAAGCACGAAGCTTAGACTGTGTTATTGCATCATTAAGTTACAGTAACAGAATTGTTTTAAACTGATCTAAATTTCATATAAGGGGCAGATCTGACTGTGTAATGTTCTGACATTTGTATGGCCATTGGCCTGTGAAGGTTGGGTTTCAGCCAGTTTTGTTTCCAGACCCAGTTTACTGCAGGACAGTGAGTGCTGGAGATGGAAGAAATAAAGGAGGGAGGGTGGGACTGTTCTTCTGTCAGATTAAAGTGTAATCAGAGGTGTAAACAGTTTCAGGTGTGTTTTGAAAACTGGGAGGGAGATGTCTTTTACAAGGGTTCCATTGATCTAATGGACGGCCAGACATCTGACTGTTTGGTCCATGTTACTTGCAATCGTCTCATCCTACAATAGGGGAAAGGGTATGTTTCTGATATTGAACAAATATTTAGTACTTGCCATGTCTATACCATGGGCAGAGGATGCCTATAAGAGCCAGTACATCTTGCATTGTGTCTCCTGTCAGGGTTGTGTTTCTCATTTGACAGAAATATTTCAGTAAATAAAAGTATATTTTAGTGAGCTCTGGAAGGACTTTTTGAAGCAGTTTAAAATTACACTGTCAGTGGTTTACTTTGGCTGTTGAAATGTGAATCTATACCTTTTCAAATGCAGTCTAAACCTGTAAGTCTTATACTAGAACAAAATTCACTACCTTCACTGATAGTTTATCTAAGAAGTGGGTGCTTGTTTCCTTGGTTGTGCTGTGGGAGGTGTTAGCACAGCAGAGGAGCAAAAAGAAGAGCAGAGTGGTAACTTAAACCCCCCCCGAACGGTTTGCTGGAGGTGGTCCTTTGATATCACAGATGACTGTACAACATTAATTGCATTTTATAAAGATATATCTTTAAGATTTCTGAATTTTATTATGGTGCATGCTTCAGTTGCATTCTGCAGGTCAATCATTCGTTATCAGTTATAGTTTTGGAAGGAATTTATAGTTAAGAGTAGCTTGTAGCTGCCTTCCCGAGAATGGACTGAGGGATGGTATGACAAGAATTGAACACGGCATCATAATGAATCACCGTGTGTACTGCTGCCAACTGAGCTTACAGTTGTGGCAACTATATTAAATCTAAAGCAACAAATGTTGTTTTTCAAAACAAGCTAGGACTGGGATTGCTAAAAACACGTTTTCTTTTACAGCCAGTTCCAAAAATAATCTGTTTGCTGATGTTTCAGTATGGCCACTTTCAAATTTTTGCTCACAGTTACTAAAAAGATTAAAGGTAATACTAAGCATGCTGTTCTTAAACATGGATTTCACATTGAAATGTAGATTTCTACATTATCTTTCAGTTGTTCTATTTATATGTCTCATCTCTTGGCAGGTTTCTTCACTGCCCATCCAACAAGTTTTTCTTGTTTTGTACACTTACTATAGGAAAGAAAACAATCTGTTTAAAAACAAACAAACTGTATTTTATTTGTTAGTATATTAAAAGCTTTTGTTTCATTTACATGTGAAATAACATAATATGGAACAAAAAAACCCTCTATTTTTTCCATATTAAAAGCGTTAGTCTTAAGAAATTTTTTCTTAAATGAACATAATTGTCTGAAAAGCAAAGCAGGAAAATACAAAACCTTAATTTGAAGCCAATATCAAAATTTTGAGCTTCACTAGAATTAATATTTACATTGTGAAATCCTAAGAGAATCTGTGCTCAAAAAAGCAGAATGCATTTGGAGTATTTCCATTTTTGGGAGGAGAGAAGAATTACATTTTGGAACTAATGAAGTAAAATGTCTTAAACTCCAAGGAGAAATGGGAAAACTTGAAATTTGTCCTAAACGATAATGATGAGAAAAATTAAAATTTCCTAAATCCAGAGCAAGAGTCCACAGAAGGTGTATAGGGAAGCATTTAAAATAAGGTCTTTTATTTGATAAAACTACAAATACTGTGCCTTAAGTAAAATAACTCTGGCTCTCTTCAGGGAAAGGCAAAACATCAAGATCCTATATAGCTTCTAGTGACTAAACACAAACTGTTTTTTTCTTTGTTTTTTATGGCTCTTTTTTTCAATGTACAGCAGTAAATGCCTGTATCTGTTACAGCTTTTAAAAGCCAATGACTTGGGTTTCTGTGCTCTTAGAGTTGATAGTGATCACTGATTTAGTAGTATTTAATCAGTTTTAATGATAGAAAAAGTTCTAGAATTCTTTAATTCCAGTATATGCTTTTCTTTTTCAGCTCAGAAGATAAAATAACTGTTCATTTCATAAATCGTGATGGTGACAAACTAACAGCCAAAGGAAAACCTGGAGATTCATTGCTGGATGTTGTTGTAGATAATAATCTAGACATAGATGGTTTTGGTAAGTAGATTCACTGAATACTGTATTCAATGTCTGGAAATTGTGTTCTATTACCAGTATATTAATAAATATTCATAGAATCATTTGTGTTGGAAAAGACTCTTAAGATAGTTGAGAATATTTTGGGTCAAGTTCTAAAAAAATATTTGAGGTGAGCCTTGCTTGAATGTTAAAGGAGGGGAATGTGGACAGAGTGCTGTCAAGGTGGAATCTGAAAGGTGCCACCTGCAGACTCTTCTGAGCTGAAAGGTTCTGGAGGCAACGCAAAACTACTGTATTTCTAACGGTGTCTGGTTCCTTCGGTATTGCCATACTGTCTGTATTTATTATCAGACTTTTGTAGTACGAATTGCTGTAGTACTAGAGTCCTAAGTGGAAGAAACAATCAAATCTGTCAGTTAGCCGGGAAAAGCAAAAAGTTTAGTTCTTATTAAAAGGCTGGAGTAAAGGAGACCAATGCCCTAGTGCAATTTTAACTCTGTACAAGTTCTGTTTAAAATCAAAATAGGAGGAAGCTATAACACCTCCCTATTCCTTCAGGCTTTTGCACTGCCCGTAGTTAGTTCCACTGAAGTTGTAGGATTCTGCCTGTGCAAAGCAGTGGTATTTGGTAATGGCAGTGAAGTACCTCGGGTTATGTATTTACGTGAATATGAGCTTAAGAATTAATAGTATAAACTAAAGCAGAAAGTGAAAATACAGTTTGCACGACTGAATGCATAGCATGGAGCAATTAGAGGAAAAAATAAGTAGACTGGTGTAGCGTAGTTTAAAACCTGAGGTGTGTTTTATTGAAGTGCAAATAAATTTCACAGCTAGTAATGAAATCTTTGGTGAGATTTTAAATCTCACACTTATGTATGAGACAACTCATGTCTAGAGTTGCATATATTTGGGGAAGAAGAATTGTGCATTGGGAATAACTAGCTTTATGTATCACTTATTAAATGTGTCATATAGGCTTATGGCTAGTCTGCTTATATTCTACAGCAGATATTGTCTGGTTGTGTGAATATCAGCCATGTTAAAGCATTGTGGTAAAGTGGAAAAAAAAAAAAGATAATGCTGTCAATAAACAGAAGCCAAACTAAAAATTGGAAGTACTGTAACAACATATGCTAGTCCCATTTCAATAATCATTTGCTAATGAAACATACTAGGGCAGAGACATTTTTACATTACTTATACTGCATTATTTATGTTCTGTGTTTAGAAAAAAGTAATGAGGGAAGTGGGGGGAAAAACATGTAAAATATAAATCTTACTTATTTACTTGTATCACTAGGGGGCATCCCATGTGCAGTAATAATACTAGAAATACCTTTGTATAAAGACATACAAAACTGTTGAGTGATTCAGCTGCACTCTTTGTCACTGCTAGCTTTACAGTTGCAGAAAGACCTTCCATTGTTCAATTAGACTGGTTAGTGTTCTTTTTTTTTCCTCTTCACCCCCAACATTAAAACACTTAAACTGCTGATATGACAAATTTTACATTATTTGGCACTGCCTTAAACTCTACTTTTTCACATCCATTTATATGTACTTGAAGACTCAATATATTATAATAATCAAGTCTTCCAGTGCAGTGTCATGTTCACTTTGAATATGTGCTGTTGGTACCGTTGCTGTATGTGACAGCACGGTGCTTTCTGTGTGGTTCTTGTGGCCTGATGATGAATCCCACCGTTTCTTTTCAGAGCAGTGGCTATACGTGCAGCCTTGCTTCCCTTTGTTTCTGTACTAGTACAAAGGTGATGTGGTCACAGTGCTCTTGGTTCTCCTTTCCCTGGAAATGAGTAAATAAATGAAACTCAGCTAATGTATTACCTGCTTCTCTTTCAGTCTAAACCAGAGGAGGGGGTTTGTGTGCCCCAACTCCAATCTCCACACAAGTATGATGAGTTCAACTTTCTCCTCCTCTAGAAGTTGCATGTTTCTTTTTCAACAAGGTGGAGAACTCAGTGCCAGCCTTAGACAGTGCAGGGACAAATTTGTTAGTGTTTAAACTTTTCCTGTCCTGTGATGACCTAACTGCTGTAGCAGGTAAATCGAGTTGATGCTTGTTTTGTTCAACCGTAGCAAAGTATTAGATCCTTGGCTTGGGCTGGATTGCCTAGTGACACGTGTAGGCCTCTTTAACACAGAGAAAACCATCTCTCTCTAGCCTGACTACCTTTGTTGCTGTCAATTAGTGTTCTGTTGAGTAAGAAGAGATACTAAGTATAAAATCCCTCCTTCCTATACTTCTGAGGAATTTTTTGTGTAGTGGGTGCCTTCTGTTGAACTTCTTGAGGAAACCTCAAAACCACGTGAGAGAGAGAGAGAAGGATCAAGCTTGGAAATAAATTAGGTAGTGTTGATTGACAGCGTTGTCTGCTTTTGCAAACTTACAGTAGAAAACTTCTCACTTTAAATGGTAGAAAGGGAATTATTTAAGTATTTTAATTAACTACAGCATTCAAGTAAATCTTAATATCGTAGGAACTGTTGAATACAGAGTAGATATATGAATATGGGAATATATGAAACATTAATTTTACTAATCAACAGATACTTCTTGTACGAGACAAACACGTATATGAAGGATTTCTTCTGAAATTCTGCTGTAATTTGAAACTTGGATTTTCTGTTATCCTGATTTTTTTTTTCTTTAGGTGCATGTGAAGGGACACTAGCTTGTTCAACTTGTCATTTAATCTTCGAAGACCACATATTTGAGAAACTAGATGCAATTACTGATGAAGAGATGGACATGCTGGACCTGGCATACGGCCTCACAGAAACGTAAGTCAACATAACGTTTCACTGCATCAAAAAATGGAAAGAAGGTTTTGCAGATGGGACAGTTCAGTATTCCTAGAATGCCTTAATAAGCTTTTAATGAATAGCTGGATTCTGTTACACAAATGGGACTGCCAAGTTTAAATATTGTTTATCTGAATTTATATTAAAAAGGTGTTGGTGCTGTTTTTGTAAACTGAAGAGTGGCACTTGCCAGTACTTGCTCTTCAGAGGTGTCTTATGCAGAAGCGTCAGATACTGAAGTATGACCAAAAACGCAGTTCCTTCAACAAAAACTTTGCTGCTGCTGTCGTGTGTGTGAATTCTCTTGTTCTTGTTTCCCTTCCCTCTGTTTTCTGTCTCCATTAGTCTGTAGCTAGTTAATGTATTTTATGGATGTGTTTACATTAGTGTTTTAGTTTTGGTCAGATCTTCTTTTCACAGAGTCACAGAAGGGTTGAGGTTGGAAGGGACCTCTTGAGGTCATCTGGTCCAACCCTCTGCTCAAGCAGGGCCACCTAGAGCTGATGCCCAGGACCATGTCCAGACAGCTTCTGAATATCTCCAAGGATGGAGACTCCACAACCTCTCTGGTATTTATGTACATTGATAAAATCCTTCCCTCGAGCCTTCTCCAAGATAAACAGTGTCCCATATGGCAGTGTCCACACTTGTCATGCTTTGAATCATGTCAGAATGCTCTTGGAGCAGACAAATCAGATTGGCTTTTGGGTGAAACTAACCCCCAGGTGTGCTCTAACTGCTAATGGGCATTTCGATGTGTAGGATTGGATTAGCAGTAGTCTAAGGTAACCCTCTGTTCTACTCTCCCCCGCTATCACATGCTTTGTAATTAGGGTGCTGTATCCGCGTCACAGACCTGTTCCTAGTGGGCTGCACTGCTTACAGACTACGTGTATGCCAGTCTTGTAGAACATACCCAGGTGAACAGTAGGCAGCTGTGCCTTACAAGGTTTTGTAAGCCCTTTCCTTCATGCTTCAGTGGAACTGCTTGTTGAAGCTTTTGAGAATCTTTCCAATGATGTCAGAGGGCTTTATACCTGGCCTGTATAGCGTAGCTGTTTTTATTTCTCTGCAAAGTAGCACTCTGAATTAACTTGTTTATTTCCTTATACCCGTAATGGGAATTCTGTACTAATTGTTTCTACATGAGGGTGCCCCTTTTTCTCACTTCAAACAAATGTTAACTTTTCTGGGAGGTTGTGAAGGCAAAGAAGTCAAGCTATGAGAAACTTGTTTCAACTTCTTTTGTTTTAGCCTTTTTCTTGTCTCCCCAAAAAATCTTCAATTTTGAAAAAATCATAAGCCTATTAATTGTGAATTTACTTAACTGTTACTCTTAGGAGAATTATGGTAATTCTTGTAGGACTTTTAGGTTCCGGACCAAACCGATTACTAAGTAGCTCTGGAGGCCAGCAATCTAATAAAAACTTTTTTCTTTGGCTGTCTTTCAGTTAAAGGTTTAAAGCAAGGAGTTTTTACTGAAGAACTGAAAAACAGTAGAAAGCCAGACCTCTCTGTTGAAATATTTCTATTATTTTCTCTCAAAATTCTTCGGACTAAATTAAGCTTTAGGACCTCTGAAGACTCTTGTTGCTACTTTCAGGTTATCCTAACATCGTGTGTTATTCCTATGGCCAGGATTTTCATATGCGTGAGGGGAAAACTTTTCTGAAAGACAGAGCTTTAAGTGACTGACATTTGCTGCAGCTTACTTGATCTGCTGTGCTGATACAAATTTGGGTAGTGGAAATCCACTACTGTGCTCTGTCATAGGTATAAGGATAAAAGCTTCTTCTTGTCAGTGACTTTCTGGATTTGGAAAGTTTCAGCTAGCTGCTGCCAGGAAAGTTAAATGTTTTTTAAAATGAGGAACTAATTAAAAGGTTAAAACAAAATTGTTTTGAATAACTACAGGACAGTAGAGATTATTAAAGGCAGTAAGAGAGGGGAGATGCAAACTCTGGCAAGTTAAATGTTCAGAAAGAATACTGAGAAACAGATTGCTAAAAAGTAGGTTAGAAACAAAAATATTTTTCTCTCAGCAGTGGGAAATTTGTCTGCATGAATAGGTGATGTAGAAGGTGCACTTAAACTTTGCTTTTACGTTATTTTTGATTTATATTTTATCTTGCATTGTTGTCTCCAGAGATGTTACAGGATGTCCATGCACTGAAAGGGCTTCCTGGAGTATCTGTCCCAATCTGATGCATCCATACAAGTAGTGTTACAGCAAATAAGTAAAATGAATAGTAACAAATGGTAATGACTAGGTAGCATCCACCCCAGAGTTCTACAGGAGTTCAGCATGATCTTTCTGAACTACTGTCTGTAAGGCTTAATTAGTTGGTTTAAAACTGCTTGCACATCAAAGAAATGGAAGGTACTAACCCAACTTTTAAAATGAGAACATTGGAACTGGAGAACAGTGAGTCTGATTCCATAGTGGACACAGGAATTGTGCATCTACGGCAGTTGTTTTTTTTATAGTTTGTACTAAATACTGGTAAGGAAAGAATTAAACAGAGCTGTTGTAGAGAGAAGGAACAGGTATGAGGGTTCTTCAAATGAGTCAGTGAGCATGAAGAAAGATCTTATGGTTCATATAGTTCACTTAGGTCCAGACATCCTTCACTAAGTTTTGAGTTGCAATGGGATAAGAGCAAAGGCCCCGTAAAGGATAAGTAACTGGTTAAAAAGAACCTCCACATTCGTCTTTTAAAGGAGTAGAATTATTTGGCTGTCTGGTAAGAGCATGTGATCAACAGTGTGATCTGGAAGTGGTCTGTGCTAGGTTTTATGTAGTGAGTGTATTTGCAAAAGACCTGGGAAAAGAGGTGAAGAGTAAGATTTGCATATGGTGCTATGTTACTCAGTGTGGTAAAATCAAAAACTGTTTATGGAGACATGGAGAAGGATCTTGTGCCATTGAGTGATGGGAAACGATACTTGATGTTAAAAGGTGCTGATTGATGGATATGGAGAGGTGAGTAGAACAGTGGTAATTTTGCATGCTTGAAATAGGCTGTCACCTGGCTAGTGTCTTTCCAGGAATGTCGGCTTAAGGTTTGGTGTAAAAAATACCTCAAAAAGGTAAATGGAATACTGACAGTATTAGGTAGGAACAAGTAGAAAACCAGAGAATATTATTACATGATGAAATAGGTATTCACCGTATCTTTATACTTGTGCATTTCTGACTTCCTGTTGTTTTTTTTGTTGCTTGTTGGAATTTGTTTTGTGTTGTGGTTTGTGGTTTTTTTTTTTTTGTAGAGTGAAAGGAAAGAAATGGAAGGCCTATAGAAATGGTTAAAGAGGAAATAGCTTTCATGCAGGCAGTGACTAAATCATCTTGTCTAAGCTTCTGCAGCTTTGAGGGGTGGGGGAATGTGATTAAATATCTATAAAATTGTAAAGGCTGGGGAAGAACTTGAGTAAAGGTAGTTTTTATCAGTATTATTTAGTGTTGCCTAGTTCTTTGTACTGCTGTGTAGCAGGCCCAAAACAAAGGGCAGTGTTATTTCACATGAAGTAAATCCATTGCCACGCTACAGAGTGCACATGCAGTTAGCGTTGGTCCTCAGTGAAAAACAGACACTTCGGTAAAGTAAAACCTTACAGGCAATGCTACATATAAATATCAGAAATCACATCTCTCTAATACATTGCATTTCTAAAGCTGTTCTTATGGATGTATATTCATATATTCATGAGATGAAATCTTCTGGTAATGTATGTGTTTATACATACATTCCAGTAATTTGAAGTTGATGTATGCAGTCATTTCCGTAGAAGTATTGCTTTTGAGTACAGTACTGAATTGGAAACTTTAACAACAGTTGATCACTACATTCTTGAAAGAGTTCTGTATAGATACTAATATAGTACCATTTTTTAATAATATCTCTGCCTACATTCCTATACTGATAAATTATTATTGAACTGATGCTACAGAACATTGCCCATCCTTGCTGACGTTTAAGTATTCTATGCTGAAATACCAAGGTATGGACATTGAATTAGAGATATCTCAGCAATAAAAATGGCTTGTGGTGTCTGCAGAATTTTGTGATGATGTTAAATCTTTTGACTTTAATTGCTCACATCCAAGATTTTTTCATGCTGAATGATAGGTAGAAAAATGAAGAATTGCATCTCCTCAGGTGCCATGAATATTTCATCCTTCTCCCTTCTGTGTTTCATATCTTCTCACTCTTACCTTTCTGGCTTAATGACCCAATCTTGAGTTGTTTAGTTTGAAAACATTGGGCTGCGGTCAGACCCTGGATGAGTTAGGCTATGCTTTCTCTGAGGTTTTCATTCAGATTCATTGCCTTCATCTCTTCAGAGACACCACATCTCCCTTGGGAGATTAAGTGTCATTCCCTGCACTTGACTGAACTATTAGCGAACCACTGAAAATGGAAGAGTCCCCCTTATTATATGTTGTCTCGGCAAGTAGGAGGTACTCGGTGTATGACTTTTCCAATGTACGGAACTCTGTTACTGACCGTCGGTCACGATTATTGCCACGTGTAGCTTTGTGTTGATGCCCGCCATCCGTGCACAAGAGTGGCTGTTTCTAGATCACGATGTGTTTGGGATGGCGGAATGTTGGAGGCATAAGGAGATAGATACTGTTAGATATATGATTGACTGGAACTAACAACAGTGTTGTGTTTCTTTACAGATCACGTTTAGGCTGCCAAATCTGCTTGAAGAAATCGATGGATAATATGACTGTTCGAGTACCAGAAGCTGTTGCTGATGCTAGACAATCAGTAGATATGAGTAAAAACTCCTAAAAGAATATATCTTAGGGGTTTTAAAGGAGCTTAATTATTTTTATAACTTATTTTTAAATGTGTAATTAAATATGGAAACTTACATAATTGTGAGTTATTTTATATGATTATCAGTATTAGATTAATGCTATTTTAATTTTCTTTATAGAACCTCCTATATTTTTACGCTTAAAATGCAATAATACTTCTTATAACTGATCATTGGATTATAAACATTAGCAAGTGTATTACAGATTTCATACAACATTATTCTGCCAAAACCTTTGACGTTTGAAAAGTGGGTCATTTCTACAAGACTTCTTCTAAAAAAACCCTGGTCATTTCTAGGTTTCAAACCTGGATATGTTAGAAAACAAAACTTCAAAGACTGCATGGAGTCTTCATAAAATGTTGTCATTAAAGATGGTTTGCTCAGAGCTAATTCACTTTCTCAATAAATACGATACTTCCTCAGCAAATAGTGGATTTTCAGGGTAGGGATTTTCCAAACTTTGGAATCTTAATGAGATGTGGCAAATTTTGTCTTGCAAAAATATTGTTAAAACCATGAAATCTAGGGGCTGATACAGAATGTTGGCACCTGCAGCTTAGTTGCTGCAGTGCATCTCTGCTGCCCAAATAGAATTCAATAAACCTGAGTTTAATTATACATATGTTTGACTGTACCACAAGTACAGGGATACACATGGCTTAGAAGAGTAAAGCCTTGGAGCTGTCTGGTGGGAGAGCGTATCTGCTGGTGGTAATTGTAAATTCTTGCTGTTCTCTGAAGATGGCTGAGTTGGGATTGAAGAAGGCAATGTTTGTTTATTCTGAAATCTTGATCTTCTACTTTTTTTAGTTTTGAACTTGCTCAGGAGGCTCTCTGATACTAGCTAGGGTGTTCAGCTTGAAACAATTCCTAGATTCTGGGCCTTGCTCTCAGGATCATTTCAGTAGTGGTTGATATGAAATGACTAAGTATATTTATTCCTTAAAGATGGAGTAGGTTGCCCGGAAGGAATAGGGAGACCTCCGTGGTGGGATAGCATGTGGACTGGTGATGGAGAGTTTTCATTTGGATCTTGGTTTAGTCTTCCTAAAGTAGACCAAAATAAAATCATATCTGTAAGACTTTATTATTCTCTCCAGTTTTTGTTGCCTAAATATGTAAATGAACTGGTTGTGACCAATACAATAGTTGTTAGCCTTGTAAGGTTATTTTCATATTTCGGGCATTTTTTAAATATCTATAACCTGTTTATTTACATTTGAATGATCTAATGTATTCATTAATGCCTTATTTGAACTGGTGACAATGACATCTAGACATCTTTTCTTGCATTATTATGCATTATTATTGCATTCCATTTATGGCAGAGGGGAAGAAATACTATTTCTCCAGTGTCAAATATTGGGATTATTCTGAGCTTCATAAAGAGGAAAGAAGTTTCTCGTTATTATAAAAAAAAGTATTTTCTAAAACTATATTGAAAATAGATCTAGGTCAGATTCCTAGATTTCCTCTCTGAGTAGCTGTTACTTTGTTTCCTGGTGTTCACTTTGGACTTTCCTCGAAAACAAGGTATGTTTAATATGATCTGCTCAGAACTTAATCATATAGGGTTTTCAGAATACACTTCCTATCTTGTCTAATTCAAAATATGACTTCAGAGTTGAAACTTCCTGGCTTTTTGAGAGATGGAGACTGAGGTCAGGGAGAAGGATGGAAATAAATTGAAGAAATGTTCTGAAGATACTGCTGTCTTCCTCTTCAGCTGTTGTGACTAACCATAATTTGGGAGTTACCCTCTCACAATCAGGCGCTAAGGTAAATCAGTTCTCACTTTGTGTTGCCTTTGTCTGAGTTCATTTATATACAGTAATTATTATTAAATCTGAACCTTTTTGGTTTGCATGAGATGCAGCTGTCTAGATTCCAAGAGAGGGAACTGGGGTTATAACAAGATGTACTATGCATTCTTACATCAGAAAGAAATCTGAGATTTCAGTATAGCTGTGGGGTTTAGGGATAGATGGTGGTGTTTGTTGGGTTTTGGGGCTTTCTTGGGTTTTGGTTTGCATTTGTTTGTTTGGGGGTTTTTGTTTTTGTTTTATTTTTATTTTTTTATGTATAGCACCAGGCACTTCTCCTTGTGGCAGTCTTGAAGCGCTTAACTCTGTTAAACAAATGTGAAACAGTTCTCATGAGACAGTTTTCTTTCTAAGCCAGGGCTGTTTCGTTGTGCGTTTCCTGTGACAGATTCTCATTGCAAAGACTTTCACTCTCCTATAGTGTGCCTGTGGAAGGAGTTATTTAGCACAGCGAGGCAAAAAAGGACACTTCAAACCTCATTTTGAATTCTAGAGGTATCCCATCTTGAGTGCAAATGGAAATGTCAGAAGGTGAAGGAACTGACATGTAATCCCCAAAACACACAACTCGGACACTTGTTTCCTTATTGTCAAAATGATTTGCAAATAAATCTTATTTTATATCACTTTCTGACACACCTTGTTTGTATTGATTTTTCTTCCCTTTTTCTCCAAACCATTGAATGTATTTTTGGGTGTAAAATGGAACTTAGCAGTTAGTGATGCACATTCAAGTGTAAGTATGAATTATTATGCAATGACACACAATTAAAGCATCAAAACTAGTTAAATATTTGTTTACTTCCTTGTCCAAATAAAGGTTACAGGTAATTTGCTTTTCAGAAAGCACTTCCTTTCCCTGTTAAAACATGGAGTCAGTGAGTCTCTTCTGTCTCTCGCCTCAAAAATGAGGAGAAAATCAGAACCGACTTTGTTCCCTCTGCTTCTCAACTATAGTTGACAACATGCTCTCAGTCTGGGCTGGAAACAGACCTTTAATTCACAACAGAGCAGGGCGATGGTGGTGGTGCTGTCTTCTGGTTCCTGGGGGTGAAAAGGCCCTTTGGATTTGCTTGCTTTTGTGAGGAAGCCAGATCAAAACCATCCTCTGGCAAAAAAGATCTTGTAGTCCCCTCTGCCTTTCTGAGAGTGTGGGGGAGCTTGTGTGGCTCTAGGTCATATCCTTTCCCTTCCTCTCCACCTCCTTAAACCCCAGTTGTGTTCAGGGTCCTGATGGTTTCTGTTCTGGGCAGGGAAGCTGACCAAAGGAGGCACAGAAGCCAGCAGTCACTGTCTCCCTTTCTGTGATGTTTTGTGTGCGATTTTGTGTGATGTCTGAAGGAGAAAGAAGGAGGTGCCTTGCACTTGCACATAGCTACATCTTGTTCTGCTGGAGGAAATTTCCATCATCTGGACTACAAGCTTTCACTGGGGAGAGGAAAAGGCTTGTTCTGCAGACCGTTTGTTACTTGTTGGGCAGAAAAACTCTGAAATCTGAAGTTCACCATTTTTTGGCTGCAAGGCTCCAGAAGACTTAAGGCAGCTGTGCCCAAACTTAATTCACATCCCAGTTGGAGGCAAGTTAAAAAGACCACATTCCAAAAAGCAGCAGGGGAAGTGGCAGTGCTTCCTCTGCTCATGGGTCTGGGCTAGGGCATGGAGAATCCCTACAGCCTGACTTTGTTTTGCCCTCGCGGAAGACATTGAGGAAAAAAGAGAAAAAAAATTCAAAGGAGGAGAAAAGATGTTCAAGCTGAGTCACTGAGGTATCAAATAGTAAAAACTGTAGGTGATTGCTCCTCAAATGATCTGAACAAGATGTGAAAGGGGAACAGGGATTTCCTGCATGATGGAGGGGCCGTTGCCTCTGTGGGTGGCCATGTAGATCTGTGTGCTGCTGCGGGCTGTAGTGCCTGCTGCTCCTCTCCCTGTTCCCCTGCCAGGAGAGCATCAAGGAGTGCAGTCCATACAAAAAAAATTAACAGGTGTTAAAAGTAACCCTGAGATTTCCTTTCTAATCTACTGGCCCCCACTTGCTTTTTTATGAAATTAAAGGTTTTTTTTTGATAGGGACCAGTCCAAATCATAAAATGTCTTAAAAGTAGTTTCTGGCCAGCAGTGATTTAGCATTTGCTGCTGGGGCGAGCTCTTCCTCTAAAGCTGCAGCCTCGCTGTGCTTGGAGAAGTATCTCTGGGGTCACCCTCCGTGCTTCTGGAATCTCCTTTGACCTCAGCCCAGCAGCAGAAATATTATTTTGAGCACTGTCTGACACTGCTTGTGTGCTTCCACAGGCGAGCGGTGCTATCCCTTGTTCCTAACCCTTCTTCCCCAAACAGGCACTAGGGTCCATCCCTCGCATCTGCTAGAGGTGACAAAGGATAAAAAGAGTTTTGAACAGAGTCGGTACAACCTTCCTCGTGTCCGCTCAGTTGCAGCGGAGCTTTTGCCTTCCCCTTTCTGGCTCCTTTAGAGTGCGTCTGTGCTAGAAAACGGGATACGCTCTGAAATCCTGTCAGCCGGTGCTGACCCCAGGTGGTGGATCCCTGCAGCACAGCGCTGGTAGGGATTAAAGTTCGGGTGTGGGAACAGCGCAGCACGTTAAAGCAGCCGTGGACGCGGGCCCAGCTCTGCTACAGCTTTCCCATGGAACTGTGGAGCCGGCTTCGCGGTCTATGGCTGCGAAAGAAATGCAGGTTCCGTGATACAGTGGAAAAGAGCTACTGCAGGATCAGGCCAGGCTGCCGAAAGCGTCGGGGTGCAAATGCCCAGCCAGCAGTGCGGCTGAGACCATGGTCCCGTAGACAGACCGACACACAGCCAGCCATGCATCGGCCATGCCTGTTGATGCACACAGAAAACACCATGGTGGCTGTCTGCCCCGCGGGCTGGTGGGCAGCCTCTCCCATTGACCGTGGGGCTGGCGGCTCCCCGGGGGGGGCTCAGCCAGCTCTGATGAAGTTGTGGGGGTTCTCCTGCTGTCATGGTGCCTCAGCTCCTTCCTGTTCGCAAGGATGAGCTGTCAGTCACATAACCCACCACTATGCAATGATGGGATGGGACATCTGTGCTCCTGGTGCCTCCGGGGCTGCAGCAGGCAGCAGAGGGTGCGTTACACGTGAGAAGTGACAATGGCATGGGACGCTGGTGCTGAGTAAGGAACTGCTTCCAGATGCACTGGAGAAGCCTGCAGGCACCTGCGGCAGCTGTACCCAGGATGCAGCTGCAGTCAGGTGGGTTTTCTTCTAACTGACAGCAAACTGCCCCTGGCAGCTGGTGGGTTGAAATCTCTGGGTTTGGAGAAGTCCATCCTGCCTCACTGGAGGAAATGCCAGGTTATAGATGATGTTTCTCCTTCGGACTATGTTTCATTCACAATGACTCTCCTTAAGGGTCCAGTTTTGGATTGAACAAATACCCAGA